CCCTTTCCATGTCTTCCTTGGAACATGATCCATCTTCTTTGTTTCAAGCTCATGGATCTGGTCACCCTCTCGATCAAACATCACCAGTAAGCTTAAGATATTATTGTGCTTAAGGTGGATCCAAATAGAAGGGTACTATCTGCAGCTTCGGGGCTTGAGCAACAACATAGGCAGGGACAATGTCGAGGTATGGGATGTGCAGCTTAGAGGCTGCATGGCTTTAGGACCTATGCGACTAGCATGAAGAAGGAGGTGGCTTACAGCATTGGCGAAAGAGAAGAAAAAGAAAAGAAAAGGCTCCTAACAAGAGGAGAGAAACCCTAAGGAGAGAGTCTAACCTAATCCCAGTTAGAAGGCATATGGAGAAGATAGAAACTCTCTTTAAGAAAATAGCATATTAATTCATAGTTAATCTTATGGTGCAGCCCTTAGTTAGGGGATTATGACATAAATATCTAAAAATCAATTGTATTACGATAGCCATGTCAAATAAATATAAAATTCTAAAAAATAAAAGCTATTTTACTTATTCTTCTAAAAAAAATGCTATTTTTCTTGTGAAAAATTAGTAATTTTCTACATCTTGTAACAAAAACTATCACTAATTTACTGTAATGAGAAAAAAAATATTTATTCAAAATAATTGTCAAAGGGAAAGAAAATTTGTCATTCTATATATTAAACATTATATTAAAGAAAATTAAAAAGTAAAATATAAAAATATAGGAGGTGCAATACCCAACATTCATGCACAATATATGTTGCACTTTATGCAAAATTTGGAATAGAATTGTATCGTTAACTGCCAACAAATTATTGCACAGTATTCAGAAGCAAAAGAGATTTTGATTCTCTTTGGTAAATCCTCCATCTAGAGTCTTAAACTCGAGGAAATATATGCAGCAAAATTTTCATCCTCATCGAAGACCATTAAAACACTTCGGCCTGATCAACAACATCCAGCAAATTGTTAAGAGAAGTTAAAGAATTATGCAAAGCCTTCCAAATAAAAGTTAATTCTCACTTTACGTGGTCATAGGTATGTAGACATATTACGGCAATGTGCAGTAACAAGACAGTTTCTACCAAAAAAAAAGTAACAAGACAGTACATATAAACTTTTTAGCATTAAAACCGACCGTATTTTTCTTAATGTTAGACCAGTTGATCATATGATAATGTATATATAATAACCATTGAGAATTTTCAAATTTTCTATACATTCATTAGCCCAAAAAACGTTGTTGTAAATTGACGAAACTCCATCGTCCACTTTGATTAATTTAGTCGTAAAGTTGGGGAAAAACCAATAAGTTGTGAACAAAAATAATATTATTAAAGCAGAAACACAAGGCAATTCGGGATCCGTGGCGCAATGGTAGCGCGTCTGACTCCAGATCAGAAGGTTGCGTGTTCGATTCACGTCGGGTTCAAATCCCCGATCTCCTCGGGATCCATCCTTTTTATTGCAAAAAACGCAAATCCATTATCTCAAGAATAATGATGGTTAAGACCAATTTTTTGGGCAAATTTGTAGTAGTCATTGACTAAGTATTGGCCTAATAAGAACCGAGGTGTTCAATGATTAAAATAATTTCGTCCAAAATTTTCATCTTAAAATTTAATTCAAAGAATCATTACCCTTATTCTAGTATTACCATGATGTTATTTTATTTTTCACTCCCAATGCACCATACTTAGGGGCATAAATATTTAGGCCAGAGTGTTGGGTTACAACAAGCAAATTGCTTCTTTTATTTTTTTTTATATTAACCTCACAATATTTGGTAATTGCATTATATTTTGATTAATCTAGAATGAAGTCATGTTGGACCCCATAAAAGATGAAATTTTTTCGATACCTGTTTCTCTATTCACAAAACTTGATTTCGAGATCTTATTTAAAAGAAATCGAGATTCTTTCACTCGGATCACCAAATTGCTGGTAACAAATTACTTCTTTGTATAGTAATGCCGTAGAAGAATGTACTCAATGCTTCTGAGTTGATATACATAAACAAGCAAAGATATTATGGATATTCTTAACATGTTAACTAACACTACCTTGTACATGAAAGTCAGCAATGTAGATCATAGCATATGGACAAAAAACACTTCCTCTATTACAATTAACCATTTCTACAAACGATGGAACTACAATGAGACCGTCCTTGATTTAGCAAGTGTTGAGTGCGTTTAACACTGATTGACACTTTGAATTACTTGAAGTCTCATCCTTCTTCAGACTCTGCAATCAACAGTTCAGAAATCAGAACATAACGAACAAAGAATCTGCATTTGAAGTCACATTGCATTAAAAGCATAATGCATTGGCTGTTATCCCCTGCATTAGCCTTTTTGCTTGTTTTCAAAATGCATTAACTATTATGCTGGCATAGCTTCAGACAAAACATTGTGCATGCCCCTCCACAAAGATAAACTTTGAGAGCATTAAAGACTATTAGAGAAAACATCATCTGGAATCATACCATGTATAGCTTCCATATTATACTCCTTGTACACTCCAAGAGGTGAACCATGGACGGAAAGAAGCATCTTACCAGGCTTAGGCAGCCGTAGAGTTTTTGGTGTCATCCCAATCGATAACCTTTGGCTGCTCCCCCTGCAACAGTAGAACACACAGCTTTATTCAATAAAATATTCGACTAGCAACCATCCAGGCATCCAGGTACACCATTATCTTCTCCAGGTAGAAAAAAGGATGTAAACAATTTGACAATCTAGGATATATATGTTTCTTCCAAATATAGATTAGCATTACAAGAGAAACTCCAGTCATACATTATAAGCAGTTTTTGCTGAACTTTGAGAATCTAGGATCTAAAATGTTACCATCAGTCACTTGCCATCAAGAAAACAATTTAACCTATTTAAACTTCTTGGTCTCCATTCATGGAGTAACTGGTCATCCACCATTTTTTTCCTACGAAGAGATACAATGGCAGTAAACAAAATGCACGCAAGTATAATAATGGTACTCACCCCGGGTATTTGAAGAGCATCATGCATTCCAAGCACTTGAGTGTCCGACAGACCCTCCAAAACCTAGAGGATTGAAACTCAAATTGGAAAACTATTAAAATAAAGAAGTATTTTTCATTAATTTAACATCAGTGAGTGTTTGGATGCCACAGTAAAACATGCTTCACTTTGTTTATTTGGTGAAGTACCGAATAACACAATAAAGAACTACGCCAAGTAAAACCAAAAAAAAAAAGATCTTTTTTCACTATAAGAAGTAGTTAAATAAATACAAAGAAAAAAAAATAGTTGAACTTTTCCTTTTATCCTAAAAGTTAACAAACATTATCCTTTTTCACCATGATAGAACTATATTTTCTATGGCAACATCCCCAAAGGAAACATAATGTAAGAAGGGAAAATTAAAGTGTCTCGCTAATTGCAAAACATTAACAAAACTAGAAGATCCAAACACCCATTAAAAGGAGTAGCTTTAAAGTGCCATTCGGTGCTTGGAAAGCACGAGGCAACAATTTCTGGATCATTGTATTTTCCAAGTTCCAGATGCAGACGAAGATAACATACAAGGTCCTTGATTTGCAGATTATCAGCACCAAGAAGGCTTGTTCTCACTGCCACTAATGGAGCAACTCATTTCAGATAAAACCATTTTCAAAAATCAAACCAAATTCCAATAAAGCTTCAAACCACCGAAAACCAAAATGCAAAATTTCTACTTCCTGCTCTGCTCGATGATAACTCAAAGCCACCAAAAGATGGAATACCAGAGCAGTGAGGATAAGCCATGGGCAAACGACGTAGAAAAGAAGCATGTAGAAAAGAAGCATGTACGGCTGTTCCATCTAAATGGTTCGTGGATAAAATACAGCTTTCATTTTCCCACCGCCTATCAAACTCTCCATTTCCTTCATTCTTGACAACTGACACATTTGGAATATTTTCCTTGAAAAATTGCAATGCGGGGGTCTGCTGCTGCTCCTTACTAAAATATGAGCATAGCTGCGTAGCAAATGCAGTAAAATCAGCATATGTTCTATCTCCACATCACGTACACCCCTAATTGCAGCTATTTGCCTTTCAACTGTAAAAAGAAAACAAAGTGCACAGCAAAATGATAGAATCAAACTTTTTCTAAATTATATTTGACATTTTTTATCAAATAAAATTACAAAATTAGTACAATAGATGCCATACGCATATTTTGCCTTCATCAACTGTTTTTGTTTCTAGCATGATGGGTAAAAATAAGATCAGCAAAACAAAAATACTGGAGTTGAACATTACCTTCCCAATATATCAATGGCACATCTTTCTTCTCATTTTGACACTTCTTGGTGACACCATCACCTAAGTGCTCAGGTGATTTTGGAGTTTGTTTGACAGTGCTCTTAGCTCTTCGTTTCACCATTAACCCAACTCAAAATAAAAAAAATAAGAATTCTCCGTTGGCATAAACCAGATTACATGTCACTTTGACAAGCACAGAGCTCTTACCCTATTAAGGCCTGAAACAAGAAAATGTATCATGGAAGTAAACATTGACAATGTTTAATTAAAGATAATAGGAAAATCAAATTCAGAGCTGCAAACTAGTTGTTGTATCCATCAAAAGATTTCGTTACCTTTCTATGTTCTAGAATTACGAGTTAATAGAAATGTTGCACAAATGCAGTCAACAAATACTGAAATTTTCAGGAGAATTTAACAAGAAGATGAAAGCCAATATTAAGGCAGCGCTGGAGACCAAATCACAATAAATTTCACACTAAATTTCAGTCATTTAACCTTGATCCCAGCATCTAACCCAGCACTGGCAGTAAGAAGGGCAGAATATGAATAGATCCCTGGGTTAATTGCGACTGGGGGCAATGATTTCTAGGGTTTGGCAATAGAACCGTGACCGGGTTGAAAAAAAATCACGAGAGCATTAGTAATTAGAAGGTTGGATCAACAATTGCAGGTAAGAATTCGGTGAAAAAATGAATATGAATGTGTAATTGATGCACAGATACATCAATTCTCAACTAAAGTTTACCTGAAACTGCAATCGGAGTGGAACTTCAGAGGGGACGTGAGTCGGAGCGTGGAAATATCAGACGACGAATTCAGAACGAAACCGGAAGAGGGGAAAGTGGCTGGAGAGCGAGGTCACTAGCGGGGGAGAGATTTGGTTCCGTCGGAGTTCGGAGTCGACGACGAGAGATTGTGCTGACGACGGTGGGGGAGAAGGAGAGGGAAAGATGAAATGAAAATTTTTCAAAATTAGGATTTGACTTGGGCTGGGACTAATTACGTGTTGTCCTTCAGATTTGGGCCTGTTGAAGCAGGCCTTGTAACAAACAGCCCATTTAGCATTACTCCAAAAAGACGGATTTGAGCCTATTAGTCAGATTCTAAATGTAAACCCAAACCTACATTTACATCCAAATCACTACTGTTCAAAAAAAATTAATCCCTTAAGTGACGCCCCCTCCCCGATTGTGGCATATTTGTCCAACATTATGCTTATATGTATAAGTAAAACGATATATATGAGATTTTACGGAACTCTAAATTACTCAAATTTGGAGTTATGTATCTTATCTTTTACCGTTCAAAAAAAAAAAAAGGAGGGTTGTTATTGCCGGTTGAAAGTAGGAGTCGGCATTTTCTAGTAAATTTTGTTATTGTAATTTTTGACAATTCTTTAAAGCAACCAAAATTGTAGCAGATAATGTTTTTCTGGTTAAATGGTTACCAACCGTTTTTTGTGGTAATAAAGAAAGAATATTGGTAGCGACAAATAATTATTGATATTGTGATTTTTTCTACTTTTGACAGAAACAAAGGTCTTCATAAAATACCCACAATTCATGAGTTTTACTGGAGAAAAATTTTAATCCCAATTGCTCTGTACATCATTTTGAGAAAAAGATGCAAAATCTCAAGCCTGAGATTCAAATTTAAGGAAAATAGAAAGATTGAGAAAAAGAGAAATAAGTTAGTAATTGCAATAGTGGTAAACTGAAGTCAGTGGAGGGAGGACTCTCTTTAGTCAAGTCTAGGAAGAAAGAAGCAAAGAAAGAAAAGAAATTATTTGATGTGAGAGAAAATAAAACAGATTTTGTCATTTAAAATGCCCAAAAACTAAAATAAAAATTAAAAAATAAGGGTAAAAGGTGATAATCTAGCTCATTATGGTAATCTAATAATGGGCTTTCATCTTATTGTCAAACCATAGCCTAAGTGGTACTTACTAAATTACTATTTGGGTTTATCAAATGATAATTTTACTTTTACCATACCAAAACTATTAATTTTTGTCGGTAATTTCAATAATTCCAGTCTGATTGATAAATGCACACTCTTAATTAAACATATAAGTGTATCTTATCCTTTCATAAAGAGCATTTATTTATTAATAAATAGATAAATAAATAAATAAAGGAACACTCTTTGCATATACTAATGATTATTCAATCTCATTGATAAAAAATAGAGTAATTTTTTTATGGTAAAAAATGAAGTAATTTTAAGAACTACTCAATCTAAATTTGATATCAGTTGTTTTTTTATTAAGATGCTTTTTATTTGATATCATTTCCTTATTAAGATGCTCTTATGGCTTTCCGACCTACATATGATTTCTAAAAGTAATGGATTTGGAAAAACTTTTCTATGTAACTCCTACCAACCATTATCGATAAGGATCAATGTTGAAAATGAATACCACAAAGGGCTGCGTTTTAGTACACATTTTAAAGATGACGTGTCACCATCTACAGTCTTACAATTTTTAAGCTTAAATGTCAATTTTGATCTCTCAACTTTAAAATTTTACATAATTTTCAACCTTTAACTTTTTATGTATTTTTTTGGTTCTTTAACTATAAAAAATGCATTTTTTTAGTCCTCATGTCATTTATTCCATTAAATCTATCTGAATCTGCACATTTTTAATTCCTTAACTTTTAATATATATACATTTTTAATCCCTCAACTTTCATCCCTCAACTTAAAGTTATGGAACTAAAAATGTGCATATTAAACAAACTTAATAGGCTAACTAACGGAATAACTAAAAAATATATATTTTTCATAATTAAGTGACCAAAAAAGTGCATAAAAAAGATAAGAGATTAAAATTGTACTAACCTTAAAGTTGAGGGACCAAAATTAGCATTTAACCCAATTTTTCTTTTTAAATTTAAATTGCACAATAAAAAGCAAGACTCTCATCCTTCAACATATTTTAATCACTTGAATTTAATATTTCTTATTTTTGTTAGAAACAAATTACTACTAAATTATTTTAATCATTAGCATTTATAGGCTATAGTGTTATTCAGTGTTGTTAATAATGGCCATAATAGTCGCTATAGCAACATAGCGTAGCGGCCAACTATGGCCACTATGAAAAATTTCCATAGCGTAGTGGGTGAACAATAGTGGCCGCTATAATAGCGACTAACAAGTATAGCAACTATTATTTAAATTTCTTTATTTTTTTGTGAAATTACCATGTTAACCCCACATCAAGAGTTTAAGTTAAAAAATTTTTAGGTTAATTTTATCTTTCCAACTTTTCTATTTATAAATTAAAGAAAAAAAACCCTAAAACTCATCACATCTGGTCCCCACAACATCCCATGCACATCTGGTCTTCTGACTCTCCTCCCAACTTTCCTCTCAACTTTTCTCTCAACTCTTCTCTACCCTCACGAGTCATGACCTCACTTCTCAAGTCTTGACACCGATATTTTCTCACACTTTGCGCGCCATTTGGTCTCCTCTTAGTCCCCATCGGCCATAGCAAGAGTGCAAGACAACTCTCACAACTTACCCTTTCACACCTCATATAACTAGAGTCATTGGACAGCAATTAAGCACTGATTTGTACACCATATCGTCTCCAATTTCAAGTAATCTTTCAAGTAAGCACTGATCTTATTGGACAACAATTAAGCATGTTACAAATTTTTTTTTTTTGGCTTGGTTCTGCTTCTGCAAGTGTCGTCTCTCTCTTTTTTCTTTTTCTTTTTTTTTTTTGACACCAAAACAAAAAGTTAGAATTAGAGATAGAAAGTTAGACACAAAAGCATGTTACAATTATTTTTTTCTTTGCTTGGTTTTGCTTCTACAAGTGCGCCTTTGTTTCTTGGGGAGATGTGGAGATAGCGTCAGTGGGGAGATGTGGAGAGAGCATCAGGGGAAGAGAAATTAGAACTTACACTAAGGGACAAGCAAAAAGAAATGCAACTGCAGCCTTGACCTCTCAGATTCCAGTACTAACCTTTAAAACTCCAACCACAAGCTCTAGTGTTGATGCAGTTTATGCTACTAGAATTAGTGAAGAGGCTTATACTTTAGATCTTGAAAAGTCAAAGGAGGAAGAAGAGGAGTTTGACCCTAGTGGAACAAGCTAGAAAGACAAGGATGATGATGATTTGGTGGCTGAGCAAGAAGAATTAAAAGCAGAAGAGAGTGATGAGGACTATTAGACTCTTGAATGATTTTTTGTTTTAAAATTCTATTATCTAACTTTTTTCTGAACTAATCTTATTTGACTTTTGTATTCTTTAAGTATTTTATTATCTTGTTTGATTATTATAAACTATGATTTTTAATTTGTTGAGACTTGAAAATATTATTTTTTTTTAATTTTTTATAAACTCTTAGATCATTTTATGCATTTCTTTGGAGATTTCTTTAAAGGTTTTCTTTGTATACATAAAGGGTTTTATATTTTCCGTGAATTAGAATTTAATTTTTGGAAGGATAAGTGAGGTTAAGA